CGGACGGACAGGGCCAAATCGACTCAGCTCGTCGCTCTGATCAAGAATATATATACTTTGTGGGGTCTGCCACGCCTCCTTCTGCCTGTTACATATATTTCAGGGTATAATAAACCAAATACATGGATAAATATATAATTTAATGAATTGTATTTCAAACACAATTTTGGCAATAATCGAAATTCCATAAAGTACATATAAATCTGCATTAAAAATTTGGTGACTCTAGCTTTAAAGATGTAGGAGATATAAATTTATTACTGGTTTTAGATGTTTTTAATCGATAATAAAATAACGGGGAATGTTATCGATACACGGACCTAGGAAAACAAATTTCAAGTCTGATATCTTCTGAGATCGACGCGTTCAAGCATATGGATAGCCAGACAAAGGGACAGAGCTAAATCAACTCAGCTCGTCGCCCTGATCAAGAATATATATACTTAATGGGGTCTGCCACGCCTTCTTCTGCCTATTACATACATTTAACAAAAGCATTATACCCAGATTTCCCATTTTCAATGGGTTCAGGGTATAATAAGATTCAGTCTCATAAGCCCCTTGCAGCAAATGCTACAAGCAACTGAACACAAAAACACGTTTTTCCGAGTGTACGCAGAATTTTACTGGCGAGTGTATATTTAATTAGTAGACAATCTTGATTTTTATCGTATGTTATAAAAAATAACCATTTCATATTTCTTTTGCTTACAGAAATGGAAATTTTAACGTGTTAAGCTCTATTTAAAAACTATATAAGCAAACTGATTTACTTATCAAATGAGTGGATCTATGTGGATAAAGCATGGATTTACTGTGTACTGAGAGCATAGTGACTCATTCGGAAATATCGGTTTTTGGCTATAATAACCAAACAGCACAAAATATTACAAAACATAACATCAAATGTAACTCTTTTAGTGAGTCTTTATCTTGTTCATCCGCATGCTTTTCGACTATCAAAAAAGGCAATACAGCTTCGAGTGCTAGAGTCAGCAAGCACATTGCAGCGAATTCCAGTGTACCTATCGCTTGCAGTATGAGTAATCTTATGTATGTTTTATCTTCAGTTGCAATTCCTGCAAATGCAACCAAATCAACAAAGCAGAGAAGGTCAACCACTTGTCAAGTACTGTGTAAAGTTCCTCCACATCGCTCATATAACAACACCAAGTGGGTGTGTACAGCAGTAATTAAAAAAACAGATACTGCAAACGATCACCATTTTGTTGATGAAAATACCCAAATGGTGGTTTCTGATCCCATTTTTAAAACTGACCGTTGCTTAAAAAATGCTTTAAAAACTGAAGAAAAAGATCAATATATCCTTGAAACATATTTTAAAACTGTTCAAAAAGACATTACCCCGGCTATGCGCAAAATTGTAGCTCAATGGATGATGGAGGTGAGTAGCTATTATACGTTTTAAAAGTAGAATGTGTGCTTTCAGAAATTATAATGTTGAATGTAATTTAGGAAGATGTACTTTCTTTTCTCTCTCTCACTTTCTTTTGAGCGAATCTAGTCTATGTGTTGTGTGGATAGTGGTGGCATCATACGATCGGTAGTGTGCGATTTCGACGTAGGAATAATTCGAACAGCATGTTTTTTTTTCAGTGTGCAAAGTTCAACACTACATAACACATACCATTTTTTTTTTCTTAAAGAGAATTTTATTTTCTTAATGATAAAAAATGTTGTGCTCTATTGCCAACAACAACAACAATATAAGTAATTTATTCAAACAGTAGACTTAAGAGATAAGAAAATGTTTACCACTATTAATTTGAGCCCTTCCTAATCTGATTTACTATCATACTTAAAAAAAATAATTTAATTGACATTAGAATTCTGCAACGTCGTCCTTAGCCTGTATTACGCATTTAAGCTCTAGTCGAGACTGCTCGACTACAAGATCCCCTGAACCCTCCGAGCAACTGAATTTTTAATAATTATTCGCACATGCACACACACAAGCACACACACAGGCATTCGCACGTACGCATAAAGACGCTTACTATGAGAATTAATTGTTTAATAACTTTTCTTTTGTATGTACTTTCTACATGAAACTTTTAGATTATGAATAAAATATAATTATGCATGTAATTGCCAAGCACAGGTCTCTATTATTTCAAATACGCCTTTTTCAAATGTGATGGTTAGGGGGTGAATATAGGGATGGGGGGTAAATTTGAACAAAAACCGAAATTGCACAAAATAAATATATGTCTACATTGAAAACTTTGAAGCTCTAGCTCTAAAAGTGTAGGAGATATAATTAAATAGCTAGCTTTTGATAAGGTTTTTGATCGATATTAAAATATCTGGAGTAGTTATCGATATTATTCGATTCAGAGGTTTATTAGAGACTAAAAATACAAATGAATATATGCTGCAGCGCAGGCAGCCGAAAATGAACTTAAAGCATACACGAAAG